AAAAGATGCCACGACAGCCAACAAAAGACAACAACAGAAGCTTAGGATATTTCTAGCCTCTGCCCATAAAGACAAAAAAGAAACAAGAAAAAGACAATAGGAGAGCTTGATGAGAACGTATAGTCATTAAAAAATTCTTATCACCACACTATTAAAGCTAAAGAAACAAGTCCCATTTCCCAAAATCCTTTTGTTCTAGCTCTAGCCAATCCTCTCTCTCTCTCTCTCTCTCTCTAGGTAATCTCTCTCTCTCTCTCTCTCATATGTGATTCTTCAAGTATATAATGGAACTTGTTTGTTTCAGGGCTCTTGTACAATACTAGGAGATTTGTACCCATTGATTCTTTGAGGGTGGTGGTCTTCGTTGTTTTTTGATAGAAGGCCTTCCTCCTTGTTAATTTTAGATAATTAGAGGAGCATAACCAAAGGTTTATTAATAAGGAGGAAAATGGCACCAATGACCCTGCCTCCTGGTTTTCGATTTCATCCTACCGATGAGGAGCTCGTCGCTTATTATCTCAAGCGGAAGATCAACGGCAAAAAGATCGAGCTTGAGATCATCTCTGAAGTTGATCTTTACAAATGTGAGCCATGGGATTTACCAGGTATATATGCTTATATTGATTATTACTGTCTTAATACGGTTAATCAGCTGGTTAGTGGATAATTAGTGGATAATTGGGTGTTAGCTAATTTATTTGAATATTACATTGCTTGCAAGACATAGTGAAGTATATCAGAGTTTGATAGTTTGCTAAGTGAAGCAAGATATCAGAATATGTTATAAGAGATGAAAACAGAATAATAAGAAGGCATGTCTTCTGCAGCACTTCATCCATTTTCTTCATCAACACTTAATTTACAAGGCCTAGCTCTAGTCATCATCTTTTATGAAAAATTATCCATTTATCTTTGAATCCTGATTAATTTGTTTATCGAAATTCTTTGATACAATGACTAGCTAGTATTTGGATTAAATAACTTGCTTAACATTTATATTTTATTAAACAACAACTAAAATATATCCAATATTCTTGAAATAGACGAATCTAAAAGAGAGAGGGCACGTCTGTTCTTTCTTAAAATGAAGAAGAAGTATCTCAATTTACAAAAGTAAATGATGGAATTTCCATGGAACAGAAAGTAACCTTATCTTCTTGAAAAATCTAAAGCTAAAGCTAATAAAGTTTTAGGCTTTCGTCGCAATCACAGGATTATAATTGTGTTGCTTCTAAATACCTCCATTTTTTGACTTCCTTTCTCTTTCCCCCTCTTTTTGTGAGAAATGTAGTTTAAAATGTTAAGAGGATCAAAGTTTCTAGTGTAGACAAGCATAAATCTTGAAGTCAAGAAAGTGAGGAAAGAAAAGGTACATGGTCTCCAATAGATCATCATAGAAGCTCCCACATACTTACTGTGCTCTTCTTTTCTATTGTGGGGGGCATATCTATGTAAGATTTGATGATTGTTCCTCTCATGCATGAATTATAATAAATCACATTAAAGCGTGATATTCTTTGCAGCCTTTTATAGTCTTATATAGTCTTTAGATGTTCAAAGTACAACCTGTAGACGATCATAGATTTATCATCTCAAAAGTGGCATCTCGTAGCCTCTAAAAGCAATTACAGCATCAGAGTTCAATCCTCCTTTATGTCTACGTACCGATATCTCATCTGTCTACATAGAAAAACTATGCATATATAGTGATACTCGATCGTTCACCCCAAATACTTGATGTAAATAAAATGATCAATTCTTGAATTAATACCAAACAATCCACTGAACATAGATGACAATCTCCTGAACATATATAGCTATAGCTAAGCTACTTATTTCTTTAAACTTGTTGCATATTTTTCTTGCAGAGAAATCATTCCTACCTAGCAAAGATCTCGAGTGGTACTTCTTCAGCCCTAGGGATCGAAAATACCCAAACGGGTCAAGAACGAATCGAGCAACTCAAGCGGGGTACTGGAAAGCCACAGGGAAAGACAGGAAGGTTAGCTCTCAGCGACGATCCGTGGGCATGAAGAAAACCCTAGTTTACTATAGAGGGCGCGCACCGCACGGGTCGAGAACCGACTGGGTCATGCACGAGTATAGGCTTGACGAAAAGGAGTGTGAATCTGCCAACGGTTTGCAGGTAGATTTTTTTCCCCCTGCGAACGGTGTTAGCTTTTTCTCCCAAATTCATTAGAAACGCGTGTCCGATGAACTTGAACACGAGTTGATATGATACCATTTTCTTGCGTGCGTAATTTTATACTTGATATCATGTCGACAATTTTGAAACTAACCTTTGTTACATATTCATGGGAGGGGGGTAATATACCCTTGATGTGTGTGTGTATAATCTATAGAAAGTTCTAAGAAAGAAAAATACTGGCAAATCAAGACCATGTTTACATCTTGCACCAGTTCAGAACTTTCAAAATTATTGTGAAGATTTAAGGATTATAACTTTGGAATAATCTAACTTCATGATTCATATGAAATTATTTTCAGGATGCTTATGCATTGTGTCGCGTCTTTAAAAAGACTGCACCGGGTCCTAAGATTATCGAACATTATGGAGCTCCCTATCAATTGCAACAACAGTGGAAAGCTAATGATCATTCATCAACTGTTGAGCTCTCTTCTGAAGGAATAGGAGATGACCTGGAGAGCTGTGGATATACATTTCAGTCTGAATTTTGCTCTTCAGGAGTTGCTCAGAGACCCTCTCACAATGAAGCCACAGATGCGGATGGCAAATGGATGCAGTTTTTAGAAGAGGAGGCGTTTATCGCGACGAATAATATTCCACCGTTTCATAATCCTTCGAGTTTCTCATATGTGCCCTCAAGGGTAAAATTCTCATTGAACTATCCTAATAATGTTAACAGAAGTCCATTTAATTATACTCTAAATAGAAAGAGAAAATGTCTATTACGGTTTAATTTAGCCCTTGTATGTATCACATGTGAGTAAAGGTAATTTCTTCATGGAGAGCATTTGGCAAAATAAGAAACTAATAGCAAAGAAGTCTTTTATTGATATATACCTAAGTTCTGGTCATATATATGAACTCGCAAGTTATCATCAACTGAGAATGGAGCTACCCGTAACCTTACCACTAAAAAAAAAGAAAGAAAAAAGAAGTTGTTCAAACTACTATCGTGACAAAGTTCAATATATTCAACTTCATAATTATTTATCATTAAGGGAAAACCATGGAAACCTGAATTCTTCATTACACATCTGCGCAGCCTGTATATTAACCTAAAATTAACCATGAACGTGAATAAGCAACTCAAAAACTAAATTAATATATGTCAAAGATTAATTAAGCATTTACATATCTGAAAAATACAAGGGGAAAAAAAATTTAAATTCAAGCTGTCTTTCAATTTGTATTCAGTTTTAATGACATTTTGTTCTTTAACTATGTATATAGGTCGATGTAGCATTGGAATGTGCAAGGCTTCAGCATAGATTCACTATGCCTCCGCTCGAGATAGAGGACTTCTCACATATCAATCAAACCGACTCAAAACTCTTACATTCTGAATTCACTCAACAAAACAGTAATGAAGTAGATATCTTGCAAGAGATACTTTCAGTAGCTTCAGCCTCTAATGGACTAGCCAATAACTCCACATATCAATTTGAAGGGTATGCTTCCCTAATAGAACCGAGAAACGAGGGCCATTGGTTTCACGAGATGGATGGCTTAGATTCGTCAAGGTCTATGATCATGCCTTGTGGGAGTGGAGAGCCGATGAGTTTGGTTGAGATCAGTGACTTGGAGGAGGAATTTAAGGAAGATAAGAAGAAGGCTGAGAATTTAAGGGGTGTGAAAACTTTGGATACCGATATCTTGGAGGTAAGACAGCATCACTTTTTGAATATGAATTTAGATAGAATATAGGCTTTTATTTTATTTTATTTTTTGTTGCAGAAATCATCGTTAAAATAGGTTGAGAGTAGCCTTTGAAGTTCAATTAATACAAAATAACTTTTCAAGGGGGTTTCTGTAGCACACAACCATCTTGACCTATCTTGCTATGAAATGTCGATCGATTAAAATCACCAAAATGCCCTTAAAATCACACGTGCAAAGACGTGACACGTATTGTTACCCAAAACTAATCCAAACTTGATTTGTTTTTAAGGATATTTTGGGAACTTGAATCAAAGGTTTACAGGAAATAAAAATAAGTTAAGGTGATTGGTTGCTATCGGAATCCCCATTAAATTGGTTTCCGTAATAATTAAACTTTAAAGATGCATGGTTTTCTATCACCATATGTTAAAGATGTTTTTTGTGAAAACCCCTAGAATTAGCGTGTCAATTTCAGAAGCTAATTAGTGGTTTTTCTTTTCAGATAAGCTTAGATGGAGAGCATAATATAACAATGAATAACACCCCAAATCATCAAATAAAGGCACCCGATATCGATCAAGGTATTCAAATTTTTGACTCTTTTAGTACTTAACCTCTACATATCAAGGCCAATGAATTCACTCGGACATAGATTGCAGAAGCAACTGATCACGACAACAGCTTCGCTGACGAAGACAAATACACTGCGCCCATCTACTCTCAACCTCAAGAAGATGAGCTCTCTCTAGGTTTTATCGACATACGCCAACATGAACCAAGCTTTGATGTTTATGAGAAGGTTGAGTTCAATCATGGATTATTTGTATCAAACAATGGAGTTATAGCAAAAACATTATTTCATCATGTTGAGCCATCAAAGAAGATCAGCATTCATTTGAATCCAATGATGGCTCAAGGAACTTTGGTTGAAGGATGGGAAGTTAGAGATGGGGTTTCTGTATTTGGCAAGTTGAGAGGTTTTATCAAGGACAGGCTCATGGGGATGAAGAAATATTTGACAGTGAATTTGTTGCTTCCTTTGATCCCAATTGTGTTAGCTTCATGGATGACAAATTGATGAAGAAGATGATGAAGTTACAATAAATGAAAATGGGTGATAACAATTGGTTCCTTATAATTAGATGGAAATGGTTTTTCTCTTTCAAATATGTTTTAACTTATAACATGTATATTGTATAATGTAGAAGTATACTAGCATATGTTAAACTTGAAACATGTATATCCAAGAAATTAAGATGATTGTATTCCCTATTAGGTATAAAGAAAAGTTATTCTCTACTATTTACTGAATTTACTGGTTGCATGATTTGTAGCGGAGGTTTAATATGCTTCAAAGCTATATCATACCCCCTTTAAAAGCACGAATTCGGAAAAATCTTTTGGTAGACAAAAATACCATTGGAATTCAAATATTATTTCATTAAGTAAGAGTAAGTTAATAAATTGATGAATTCTTGTTGGAGATACATAGTAGAAGATAACGATACAGTTTAAATTGAAATGTAATCTAAATAAAATTATTAAATACTAAATTTATAAATGTCTACAAAATAAAGGTTGTATATGCAAAAAAAAAATTAATGAGAGAAAAAATATCTACCCCAAAGATCAAACCCAGGAATAACGTAGACCTACAAATGTATATAATATGGATGAGATATTTACAAAATCCACCAAACAAATTAAAGAGGCAAAAGTCATTCTCAAAGTTATAAAAAAGAAAAATTAAGAAAAACAAAAATCATACTCCCTTTAAAAGCACGAGTTCGGGAAGTCAAAATTACCTTGTATTATTTTAATTATAATCTATCCTAATCATACTTATATCCTATCCTAATAGCCTATGAACTATCTATGGCTCAACAATTTAAATAAGATTAATAAAATATATGAAATAGCTCCGTAATATTAGTTTATTATATGAAGTATTACAAAAAAAGCAAAAAGTTTTAAAACTTAGACAAAATACTCTCAAAAGTTTAAAATTACACAAAATAAGAAGTTAAAAATTTAGAACTTGGCAAAAAAAAGAGTAATTTGTGTGATATTCTTTCATTAAGATATATAAATATAACTTATAATTTAAGGTTTACTATCCCTTTTCAAAACCTGAAAATAGTCAAGTTGATATTGGTAAAAAAATAATAATAACAGATTAAAAATATCCAGTTAAAGAATAAAAATTTTAAAAATATACGATAGATTAAAATTAATGTTATTTTATAAATTAAAGTAACTGCATATAATTTTACCAATATGTTAGAGCACCAAAAATATATAAGTATCATTAATTGATAGAAGACTAAATCTCAAAAATTTGATAAAAGACTATAATATAATAACTTAACATTAATTGATTATAATTTATAAATATTGATCTCTAATGGTAATAACATTTATAGGGTAAAAAATTATAAAGATTTATATATGAAGAACTATTAGAAAATTTAGAGATATCCTTCAAAAGAATCAAGCGGATTTCATTTCAAATGAAATTCAGAACGTCCATAAATCACTTCAATTAACAATAACATAAGTTATATTTATCAAAGAAACATCGACTGAATACCCCCTGAAGAATATATTGAACAACTTTGTTCTAATTAAAGAAACATTCTTCATGGAAGATAAAAGAAAAATTACTATGTCATGACTCTGCATAAGCAAAAAATATAAAATCGCCATTTTTATTTTTCTTATATAGTATTACGACCATGCGTGTGATTTTATTTAAGGGTATGACTACTAACGAAGGATCAATTCTTAAAGACATGATCAAAGATAATGATGTAATAGCACTATTAGAATTCAAGATCTCTAAATATGAAGGTAGTATATTTCATTACTAAATTTTTATTAAAGACCACTAAATATAAAATTCGCTTTATATATGTCTGAAATTTATAGAGGATATATGCATGTTATCGTAAATTGCGTTAATAATATATATCAATCCAAAGATACAACTTACTGAAGAAATAAAAGAATAGTAAGTAAACCAAGCAAACATTCATATAACACTATAAAAAATATTATATTTTAAAGCTAATATGCAGCGTTCTTTTAGAGTAAGCTGTCAAGATAAAAACATCTCCATTAAGGCTCTTTATAAATACAGCAGAATTTAAATTACTACTATATACAACCACTATAACATTCAAAAGAGGTATGATCTTAGAAAACCTACTCTAAATTTCATACAATTAAATATAAGAATAATTTACCAATATATAGACACAATATCGCACCTTTAAGGTGACGATAACTACCATTTATAATAGCGTTGAGTAGTGGTTGTATGTTTGCAAAGGCTACAATAAGAGGTTGTATGTTTGCAAAGGCTACAATAAGAAAATGGATAGAGATGTTAATAATAAGTGTTCAGTTGATAAATGTTATAGAATCGATGATGATGTAGTACCAATGTTAAGTGATATCCATTCTTCATGAAATAAATATATTAAAATTAAATATTAATATTATAATCTAAAGCAATTTGATAATGAAAAATGTAATGTATTTAGTTCAGATCCTCATGAAAAGTAACTCAGACAGAGCAAATGTAACATTATGACATAGCAGAAATTTTTATTGGATGCACAACAGAAGAATTCATTACAGAGAAAAAAGAGGCAGCTCCTAACCTTATTTAAGTAATAAATTAAAAGCACAAAAAAATTTATATATATGAAATTAACATTTATTCTTATTAAAATAGGAAAAAAAATCAAAGTCTGTATTATCAGAAGTTTGTGTTGAACATAAAAAATATATTCAACTTCTTTGTGAATTTAGACGAGAAGACAAAATATGAATGAGCCCAAGGAAAGATAGCATGGTCCAGTCTCATATCATAATCGATGCAGATGATGAAAATACTACTTTAGAATTGCCCAGGAAAAAGATAAAGATGAAGAAGAATTGATCTCGACTAAAAAAAACTAGAAACGATAAAAAGTAATGATTTATGAATTGTTATAGAATACTTTTATTATTTTTTGTAAAATTAGAAATCTTTAGAAGGGATTTTCATAAACTATTTTTAGTACTTTCATACGCATATATGGATGCTTTTATCATTAAAAAATATACTAGAGTTAGCATTAATCTTCAGTTTATGATTTTTTTTCATTAACTATTTTTTATCATTTTAGCCCACTTTAAATCAATCATCTTGGCTCGTTGGCTTTATTATTTATCTTTCTTTTATAAAGTTATTTTTTCAAATGTTTTCACTTTCATAACACTATACTTCCTCAGGTCAAACTCGGTTTCATATGATCCAAAAGAAATAAAAATTTAAATTAGCTTTAGATTATATTTATCTCCTAGAAATTCTACTACCAACATAAAAATTTAAACTGAGTGTAGCCTATTCAAACAAATATCCAATAAATAAATAATCAAAGTGTAATTGAAGAGCAAATTTTAGTAAGAAAATAAACTAAAAATACTTAATCAAAGTGAGCAAAAATTATCAAAGAGTAACCGAGAATATAAACCAAAAATACCTAATCACAGTATTTGACCACGTGCATTGCACATGCATAAAATCTAGTTTTTTTAAGAAAATAGAGTCTGTGATAATATAATTTTCATGAAATTAGACAAATATAATGATGCGTAATAAGTAATAATAATATGAGTAAACTAGGGTTTGGTGGTCCTTTAATATTCTTAACTAGTAATGTTGCTAATACGACACATTTAGAGATCGTCAGCTATATACAATCTGGTACGTTAATCATCAAGACTGTAGTGGTCCGGTTATGTATCATATTAGCAATAATCCCAGCAAAGAGCATGGAGAGACACATTAGCATACCTTTACAGAAATCTCCCTGGGTAAATTCATCAAACATCTCCTTTGCAGAAAATGTTTAAATTTGTTTTAACCCTATACGATGGTTTTTTCGAAAAAAATTAGATCATAATATTTTTTTTTGAGAATAAAACATGGGATATACATTGTTCATTAATATATATCAAAAGTACAGTTACAAAAGTAGGATACGACCTGCATCCATAGATATTGGAAGATAGAAAATATAATTTCTCTTAACTAGTGATGTATAACCTTCTTCTCCCAAACATACATGAAGATGAACAGTGGACCTTGCCGTCATTCACCGTAGACACAGATATAGGGAAGAACCAAAGCCGACTATACATATAGTATAAAGAAACTATATTTTCTATAGTCCAATAAAACAAAATGAAGGACCAACAAAAATTTATACATATAGTATAAAGAAACTATATTTTCTATAGTCCAATAAAACAAAATGAAGGACCAACAAAAATTTTCTTTGCACAAACAATACAAAAGATTTTTCTATAGTCCAATAAAACAAAATGAAGGACCAACAAAAATTTTCTTTGCACAAACAATACAAAAGATTAACAAATGCTATCATCCACTGCTCCTCGAGATTGGCTTGGCTTCTAATGCACCTGCTAACTTGAGTGCAGAACTTCCTCTTCCAGAACCTGTCCATACATATAATCCAGAGATAGTTTAGTTAATAATGGACTGAACAGAGAAGTACTGATCTGTTCAAAAACAAAATTATTCCTTGTAGACCATAAATTCTAGCAAACTGTAGATAAAATGGAGCGCCATAAAATCCCATTAATTTTTTGTAGAGATTCTACAGAGAGAAGAAGGTCATAGAGAGATGTCAGCCATATGAAAGGTGATAAACACATAAAATATACATTATCTTAGTGTGTTTCAAGTATGATTTATGGGTGTTTGATGCATATTTCGTGTTTAGTTCGGGATTCAAAACAGTGCGACGGACAGATCTGTTTGCGCATACTGTAGCACAGGTCAAACGGACCTGTCCCGCGTCACTGTAGCACGAGTCGGACAGATCCGCCCGCAGTACTGTAGCGCAGACCCGCCCCGCGGTATTGTAGTGCGGATCCATCCTGTGGTACTGTAGCACGCATCCGTCACGCGCGCACTGTAGCACACATCCATCACGCGGTACTGTAGCGCAAAATCCGTCCCAAGTTACTATAGCACAGATCTGTCCCGTGGTAATATAGCGCAGATCCGTCCCGTGGTACTGTAGCGCAGATCCGTGCCACGGTACTATAGCGCAGATCCGTCCCGTGGTACTATTGCGTAGATCCGTCCCACGACACTATAGCACAGATCCGTCCCGCGGCACTGTAGCACAGATCAGTCCCGTGGCACTGTAGCACAAATCCGTCCCGCGGCACTGTAGCATAGATC